GCTGGATAAGAAACAATGTAAAGTTAAAGCAAGATGTAGCTATTTCTATTACAGCAAAGCAGGCAATTTGCTTTCATCTAGCACTTTGGAAGGAGGCAAACACATCTACAGAAATAGATAAACACTCTTTTCTTCTAAGTAAGTGCAGAAGAAAAAATAATTGCAGTTATGAATAAAAACTGAGGAGGAAAAAAAGAGCTATCCCGTCTTACAAGATGTGACAGAAGAGCAGTGAGACAAACAGCAAAATCCGGCTGAGACCAGAACATCCCTTCCAGCTGTGCTAAGTTATTAGCAGGTGATAGGAGAACCTTATCTGTCTATATATTTACATTGCATGTAACTCTTCCATTAAATTATTTTATTATTTTCTTCTGTTTATAATACACATATGGCAGCATTGAGTATGAAATACTGCATCAATAATTTCCACAAATATTTCTGTTTCCATGATAAATCCCTGCGATTAAAACTAAAACCTTCAATTATTGCTATACATGATACCTGAATTAATGGACTTTGTTTGGCCATTAGAGTCAAAATTTTCACAAGTATTTGCAAAACTATATGCATAGTATCACGTACACTTGCTTTGCCGTAGGGATCATTCTTCCCAAGTGAATTTCATATTATTTTTTTTGAAGAAAAAAAGCACAAAGCACTATACTATAATTGCAAAGTATCAGTATTGATACCTTCTAGATTAACTATATTTTCTTAATAACAGAAAATTCACTTTCTCATAATGTGCAGGGGAAAATCTTAGCATTTTCCAATGCAAAAAATCTTCCTTCCTTCCTTCCTTCCTTCCTTCCTTCCTTCCTTCCTCACTTCCTTCCTTCCTCCTTTCCTTTCTTTCCTTCTTTCTTTTCTCTCTCTCTCTCTTTTTCTTTTCTTGGAAAATGAAAACTCAGGGGAATAGAATCATTTTATCAGAGATTTTAGTAATAAATATATTTCAACATGCTTGTTCTTTTCAGTTCTGTCTGGAAAAGTAGCCATTTAATCAATGGAGTGACAAAATAGAGATTTAGTCTACAGCTTAATTGAACTATGACTGAGAGTAGGAGCCAGAAGAAGCTGAAACATTCAATAATCTGTGGTTTCTCCAATTTATAATTATAATTAACATCTAAGGAATCAATCACTCACCTTCTCTGTACCATTTGTGAAAACAGAAGAGCAGAAAATCCTCTGTTTTGAGATTGCTGTACTAAGGAGATTCCATTTGTTAAAGATGCCAAGGGAACACAATTACTCATGCTCGCTGATTACTCATTAAATCACATCAGCTTTATTATTATGAGAAACTAAGAAAGTTATGAGAAGCCAAGAATGCCATGGCGATAAAATACGGGGGCACATTTGCAATTGTAAATTATTCAGAACTCAAGATAGAAAATTTATTGGTACTTGTTGTTACAATAAATCCTCACTAACGGAACTCTATTAATTTGGAGGTTAAGACGATTTGGATTCCTGGCTAAGATTTGCTGTTCACTATGAAGTCTGGAAACCAACTTTGTAGTCGAGCATTGAGGATATTTTTGAAACTCTGGGTCCTGCTGCTGCTCATTTGTACTTTGTAGTTTTCCTTGTAGCAGTCTTTCACCTTGGTTAAACTTACTCCTGGGTATTTTATTGTTTTTGTTATGGGGTTGCTTGCTTAAATTGTTTTCCAGGTAGTTTGTTATTGGCATTATAAGTGCTGTGAATTTTTGTATGTTGATTTGTATTCTTCAAGTTTACTGATTTTTGGTGCAGTCTTTATTTATATATAATATATCATCTGCAAAGTGGGACAATTTGACTTCCTCTTTTCCAATTCGGATGCCTTTTATTTCTTTCTCTTGTTTGATAGCTTTGGCTAGGACTTCCAGTCCTATTTTGAATAGGAGTGATGAGAGTGAATATTGTCACCTTGTTCCAATCCTTAGAGGAAAGACTTTCATCTTTCCCCCATCCACTGTGATGTTAGCTGTGGGTTTTCATATGTGGCTTTTATTATGTTGAGGTATGCTTCTCCTGTGCTTAGTTGGTTGAGAGTTTTTATCATGAAAGGGTGTTGAACTTCATCAAATACTTCTTCTGTATGTATTGAGATGATCATATGGTTTTTGTCCATTATTTTGTTGATGTGATATACCCTTTTTATTGATTTGCATAAGGTGAATTAGCCTGGCATTCGCAGGATAAGTCCCACTTGATCATGGTGTATAAATTTTTTGATTTCTTGTTGGATTTAGTTTGCTAATATTTTGTTGAGGGTTTTTTCATCAATGTTCATCAGGGATATTGCCCTGTAGTTCTCTTTTTTGTATATGCTCCTATCTGGTTTTGATATGAAAGTAGTGCTACCTTCTTCAAATGAGTTAGAAAAAATTCCCTCCTTTTGAAAATTTTTCAAATAGTTTGGCAAGAATTGGTGTTTTTACTTCTTCATAAGTTTGGTGGAATTCAGCAGTAAAGCCACCAGTCCTGGGCTTTTCTTTGTTGGGAAACTTTCTATTACTGATTCAATCTCAATTTTTAAAATCTGCTCAGATTTGCTATTTCTTCCTCATTCAAGCTTGGTAGGTTGTATGTGTTCAGGAATTTTCCATTTCTTCTAAATTTTCAAGTTTGTTAGCATACAGTTGATCATCATAGTCTCTGATAGCCTTTTGTATTTCCGTGGCATTAGTTGTAAGGTCTCCCTTCATTTTTATTGAGTTTATTTGGGTCCTCTGTGTTTCTATCCCCCTGACACTCCCTTTTTTATATGGTTCGTCTACCCTATGGTTTATCAGTTTTATGTTTCTTTTAAAAAAAAAATCATGGTTTGTCTGGGTACAGTGACTCATTTCCATAATCCCAGCACTTTTAGAGGCCAATTCCACCCATGGTGTTGTAAATGACAGAATTTCCTTTTTTTTCCCCCCAAGGAGTACTCCTTAAAGTATATATATATATCTCATTTTCCTTTTTCATCTGTTAAAACACTGATCTGGAGGTGACAGAAAGCAGAAATGTGGGATTTCTTGAGGTTTTCACATACACGAGACAGAAATTAAAAATCATCTAATGTGCACATTACAAGGGTATATTTCAAAATAACTAAGAGCAAATTTTAAATGTCTTACCACAAAATAAAAGTAAGTATGTGATGGCAATGTTAATCAGTTTGATTTAAGCATTCCACATTGTCTATCAAATCATCGCATTCTACCCCGTAAAAGTTATGATTTTAATTAAAAATGAATGAAAAGTTAAAAAAGAGAAAATCTTAGTTAGAAGTATATTTGGATGAGAGACATAATTTATATAGAGATTTTGGGAAAAAAGTATTTCCTTCAGTAATGGAACCTTCCAAGTGTGGGAATGACTCCAGAGGAATTAAAATCTGCCTGCTAGAACTCAGATGTACCCCCCAATTGTAACTTTATTTTCTTTGGGTTCTTTTCTTCATGCTCCTATTCAGTTATTAAAGAAAAAAGTCTTATGTTCAAATCAACTCAAAATTTAGCTCCTTATTAGGAAGGTTTTTGCTGTTACAGGCTTTCTATTTTGCTTTCTCCCTTGCAAGATTCATCTCAGTGCTCACGGAGGAGGGGGAGGCGGCGTGGAGTCTCTGATCCTCTGTCATTGCACACACTGCTGGCTGCTATGGTGTGCTTTGTCCTACCTGGTTACTAAACATCCTCACCCAATATTCATCTTGAACAAGTCTTGCGATGTGGATATTTTAGGTTTTATATATAATGGCACCCATTTTTGAAACCCGTGTTTCTCACCGTGGTATATAGTCACTGTCTCTTCTGCTTCATCAGTTTTCTCAACATTTTTTGTTGTTGTTGTTGTCCCATGTGGCCCTCAGAGCCTGTGGCTACTACAAGCAGGCTTTATGTATTTGAGAAATTATCCCAGCTTCATTCACTTCTTCCAACTTTCCTTTTTGACTCTCCAACTGTGTTGTTTGTAATGCTATCCCGAATTCAAGATTTCTCGGCAAGTTTTCTTTTTTCTCTGCAAGTTCCAAGTTTATTTGGATATGTTTTGCTGTCTCCCAGGGGTTCAACTCTGGGGCAGAGAGTGAAGCCAAGATGTAGTGGTGTGCTGGAGCTGTCTTATACTGGCTTATAACCTTTAGGTTCTCCCCACCCACCACTGCTGCCAGGGGGCCAAAGCATGCATTCCCTAGGGCCTGCCGGCTTCCTGCCTGAGAACCGGTCCCCTGGGGGAGCTGCCACTGGCAACAAGGGCCTGCTATGTACTTGCAAGCAACCTGATAACAGGTTCCCCCTGCTCTCCGCCTTCCCTGTCCTCTGCCTCTGTTGCTACCGCCACCAAGCATGCCACCTGGTGCCTGGGACTTTTCCTGCCCTGCCCACCCTGCCCACTACAGTGTGTGCCCATGCACACTACTCTGGGGGGGTAGGTGGGAGGGACTTGACAATAGGTCCCACCTGCCGTGGCACTGGCGGTCACTCAGTTCCCAAGCATATTGCCCACAGGGCTGGAAATTGGCCTGTTGCATCAATAAACGAAGTTTTAGTAGAATTTTTTTTTTTTTTTTTTTGGCCAGGGTTGGGTTTGAACCTGCCACCTCTGGCATATGGAGCTGGCGCCTTACTCCTTGGAGCCACAGGCACCGCCCAGTTTTAGTAGAATTTATTGAATCTAGCTTCTTTATACATATTTTCTGAAGTCCCTTTTGATTTACAAATCTCCTTTGGGAGCAAAGAAACTGGTTACTGAACTAGACTTGGATGTCATTGTTTAGTGTCCCTTCTCTCTAAAGTGTGGGTGTAGTAATAGCTATGCCATTCCCCTTAGTTCTCACTTTTATATCCCGAAGTTTGCTTAATGAAATCTCTGCTACTCTCCACCTGAGGGCTTTTTAATGGCCTTGGGAAACTCTTAGCCTATACAAAAGGCGAGCGTGAAACACCGGAGTTAATACTGCTGAGGTGCACTGGTTAGGGCAGCTGGAAAAGTACTCTCACTTTCTCTCCCCTCAGTTTCAGGAAGTGTAAGATGTGTTCTACAATGTCTTGTAAATGTCCTCAGTGTGATGAAGTCACGACTGCCCGCACTAATGACTCAGGTAATAATACACACTGTATTGGCTCATTCCTTTCCCACCTCCTTTCCTGCTCTTCTGCCACTGCTTCTTGGGATCACCTTTCATGTAAACTACATGCACTCACCTCCTTGTCTCATGATCTGCTTCTGAGAAAACATAATCTAAAATGGTGAGGCAGACAAAGCTATAAAAAAGGTACGTTTTAACTCAACAAATAAAAATAAACGATTTTATAATAAAGGTGCAAATACAATTTTGTAAATGAAAGTTCTAAACCAAATATTTAGCTATGGAAAACTTTCACAGACTGCTTTAACTGTTTACCGATAGCAGCCATCGTGGATGAGAAAGTATTCTGCTGTCATGGAGGTTTATCACCAGATCTTCAGTCTATGGAGCAGATTTGGCGAATTATGTGACCAATTGATGTACCAGATCAAGGTCTTATTTTTGTCCTACTCTTTTTTCCTCTCAAAACAACAATAACAGTGGTAAAAGCTAAAAAATTAAAATTTTTATTTTTTAATTTTTTAGAGCAAAATTGAAAGACTTGGGCTAAAATTGGGTTATAGCTTTCTTATGAAAGCCTAAAATTAGTTTCATAGTAGGGCTGAGTACATTGAACACTTTTTCTTCCATTCTTGAAATACTTTGCTAAGAAGAATATTTTCCAGCTCCATCTATGTAAACATGAAGGAGGTAAAGTCTCCATCTTTCTTAATGGCTGCCTAGTATTCCATGGTGTACATATACCACAATTTATTGATCCATTCGTGGAAAGCTATAACACAATTTTAGCCCAGGAATATGGGGAGAGGGGAGAGGGAGGGAAGGGGAGGGGGAAGGGTGGGATCACACCTATGGTTCATCCTATAAGGGTACATGTGAATCTCTCTAAATGTAAAATATAAACGTTTTAACACAATAACTAAGAAAAAGACATGAAGGCTATGTTAACCAGTTGGAAGAAAGTATTTCAAATTGTATATAGAAACAGTACACTGTACCCATGATAGTATTAATGTACACTGCTATGATTTAATAAAAAAAATTAAAAGACTTTTATTATACAACAATACCTCTATACTCACCACTTACATACTACCATTACTTTTTTTTAATTTTTTGATTTTTTTGTGGTTGTACATTTAAATTTTACTCTTAATTATTTTGAAATATACCCTTCATTGTGCACATTAGGTGGGAATCCCACCAAATGCCCTCCCTCTTTCCACCAATCACTTTTGCCCTTTCCCTCTCTTGTCCCTCCTCACCTCTCCCCTTTGCTAGTCTATATTTGTGTTTTATTATTGTATGTTGTGTGTTCATATATTGGTTTCATAATAGTATTGAGTACATTGGATACGTTTTCTCCATTCTTGAGATGCTTTACTAAGAAGAATGTGTTCCAATTCCATCCAGGTAAACATAAAAATGTAAAGTCTCCATCTTTTTATGGCTGAATAGTATTCCATGGTATACATATACCACAATTTGTTAATTCATTAATGGACTGATGGATATTTTGGGTTACTTCTACAACTTGGCAATATGAATTGGGCTGCAATAAAGATTCTGATGCAAATGTCTTTGTGATAAAATGATTTTTGTTCTTCTGGGTAGATACCTGTAGATACCCAGTAATGGAATTGTGGGATCAAATGGAATTTTTAGTAAGTACCAGGCCACGTTCTAAACATTTTGTACATAAAATTTTATTAATTATTATATTATCTTTATGGTGTGACATAAGGTGTTATATTGTAATGATAAATATGCCATTGTTCCTTTTTTAAACAGGAAAGGTGATACATTTAATGTCTTGTGTAGGACAATAACTAAAAAGTGCTAAGTAAGACTGGGTATAACTCAAGCAGTGAGATTTCAAAGTCCATTTTCACAAACACTTTTCTTTGTAGCATCTGTGCAATTTTGCCTGTAAAATTTGCTTCAATATCCACCTGCACGCTGTGACTCCCAAGTTTGTAATTGTGTCTATGACCTCTGGAACTGCCAACCATTTTCCCCTTGGAATCTCTTCTTAGATGTTCCCAACATTAGAGTGCTTCAAATCCAATGTTTTAAAAATCAAACACATGACTTTTCCTTCCAGATCAGGCTTCTACATACTAAATTTTAGTTAATACTACCAAATTCAACCAGTGCCCAAAGAATATAGAATAGTATCTTCTCTTTTTAATTTTCTGAGAATATTTAGTCATGAATGAATATTGAATTTTGTCAAATGCTTTTTCTACATCTAATAAAATGATCATATAGTTCTCTCTTTTTTTTTTGTTAAAGTGGTGACTAAACCTTGCACTATAAGATTAATTGCACTTGATGGTGGTTTATTTCACTTTTTGTATTTTATCTGAATTCTGTTTGCTAACATTTTTGAAGATTGTTTTTGTATCTACTTCATGAGTACCTGTGGTTTTCTTCATTGTAATATCTTATCTCATTGGTATTACAGTAATGCCAACCTCATAAAATGAGTTGGGAAGTAATGTCACTTCCTGTACTTTTCTAAAAGAATTTATGTACTATTGGTATTTTTTTCTTTAAAAACTTAAAAAAATTTATGATCTAGGCCTTAAGATTTTAGTTAAGAATTCAATTTTTGTAGTTTAATTTGCAAAGAGGTTTTTTAAAAATTATGATCAATTATTAAACTCTATCAAATACTTTTTCTTCAAAAGTTAAAGTGATCATATATTTTTTCTCTTTATTCTATTAGCAAATTACATTGAGTGTTTTATTAATGTTACACCAAAATTGAAACCCAAGGTAAATACATTAATTTAACTGTAATGTATTATCTTTTTAAACTATTATAGATCCTAATTTGATGGCATTTTGTTTAGGAGATTTGCATTTTTGTTTATGAGAGAGCTTGGCCTATGATTTTCCTTCTTTTACTTTTTTTTGGTTAATGTCTTCATTTTAGCTTAGGTGTTAAGGTTATGCTGACTTCCTAAAATAAGTGAGGAACTATCCCTTCTGATGAGGGTTTCTTTCACCTCAGAAAGGCATTGAAGGTAGGGGTACATCTTCTAAATCTTTGAAAGGCAGAGGTGTTTTAAATAATTCATCTTTGGCAAGGCTAGACCTAACTGTTGTGATATTTACCAGGACCTTCTTTCTTGGCAAGCCATGAACTTCAAATTTTAACCCCACTCTAAAAGTCTGTTACTCTTTCAGACTCTCAGCACTATGTTCCCCTTGGCCTCCATGCCTCTAGGCTTAGAAGTTGTTTGGTTTCTCAATTTCTAGGCCATGATTTAATAATAATGGCTTTACCAAATGCTAAAAGCTGCATCAAATGCTGGGCTCATTTCCATACTTTGCTTCTCTATGAGATCTTGGTCTTTCACATCCTCACTGATGCCATCACACAGATGGTTTTTAAATTGCATCCAACTATTCTAATTTTTCTTAGTAGGAGTGCTGATTTGATAAAAAATCTTTCTGCCATATATAAAGGCAGAGTGGCCAAAGTCATCTTCAGGTGAAAACAACTTAGTCATACCACTTAAAGTGATCAGCTGTATCAGATTGGCAACTCAGTCACAGATGACTCACTGGGCTAGATCATATCTAGCTAAGAGTTTTTGAAAGAGCCTAGAGGCCCTGGGGAGCTCCTGAACCAGCCCTGAGTAGTGTAACTCAAGGCTATCACTTTGGGAGAAGTAGGACAAACAACCTTATCTTGCAAGGACTGAAATGATGGCTATAGGTTTGGGCCTAAAAAGGTAAATCTGAGATAATTAAAAGTGATATTATACATCTTTACTTTCTGGAGAGCAATTCAATGAAGCAAGTTATAACTCTAAAGGTACACAAACTTATAACCAGACTCAAGAAGAGTTCAAATCCATGCAATAATGACTGATAGTAGTTAATGTTTAATAATAAAAATGTTGGTTAGATGATATACTCACTATTTAGATAAAATGTGAATAAACCTATCATCCTATTTGTGTTTACATGCTACATATGCTACTAGGCTGACTGAACCCAGTATTATGCCTGAATTATACTAAATCTTCTGTTTTAAATCAGTACCATGTGCTAACCAATGAGTCTTCTGTTTTAAAGAAGTTAGTACAAGTGTTTTTTTTATTTAACAGAACAATAATATCTGAATGTTTTTTCACTTTTTTCAATAGTTCAAATAGTAATAAAAATCAAATTCTTGTAAAACACAAAAAAGCCAGTAGAACTATCATATTCATATTTGCTTCTATATATAGCCAAACTATACTTTGCTTTGCTATAGTAAATCACCTTACATTTTTAAAGCTCTAATTTTGAGAGCCACAGAAGAGATTTCTTTCATCCACAACCTTTCTGCTATAACCTCCAACAAAGCATTAGAGAAATTAGTGTCAGGGATTAGCCAGATGGGTTTTGTATGCCAGCTCAGTTGTTTTCATAGCTCAGTGTATCATACCCTGAGCTCTTCCTTGCTGATAGGCTAATACACAAGAGGCGAAAGTATTTTATCTGAAATCCAGGAGCCAGCATTGAACAGGGCCATGGTCATTGGTTATTCCTGGCTAACTTTAAGTTCTTAGAGCTGGTGGTCTCATCTGAGATTCAATCCTTACTGTGGATAGAAGGACTGATTTGTAAGTGTACTTTTAAGAAAAGTGACAAAAATGTGTTTCACAGTCATGTTTTAAAAAAAGAAAAAGAAAGAAAAAAGAAAAACATAGATGGACATCTTCCAGTAAATCATGTACTACATTGTTAAATGGAGAAAGTTATATGCTCCTAATTCTTTCAGTAGGAATGGATTTGCACTTTTTTAGCTATAGGCACAGATTTGGTTCATTCTCACATTGTGGTCAACATCTTTTAACCAGAGATTAATTATCCATAGTTAATGATTACAGGAGAATTTAATATGTGGCTCTGGCTTTTTCAGCTTCATGCCCTATTTAATAGAGTTAACTGTATATTCGAGACTGGAAAATTTCCACTCTCATTCACATCCCAGTCTTGAGGGAAAACAT